GCCATTTTGGTGGGGAGAGGGATTCACAGACAAGGTTGATAGGAAAATTGGGTTATTGATTAGCAGAATTGTGAAGGATGGGAAATGATACGATCAAGTTGCACGACCTCCTTCTAAAGCAGTAGGTGCAATTCAGCCCCTTTGCTTATTGTGGCATATCAGCCCTTCTATTTAAAAGTAGTGTAAATTCACCTCTCTACTTGACAAAAACCCGCAAACGAACCCTTAAACTAAAGATGATGTCATCTTTTCTTTTGACTTTCTATTATTCCGTTAACATGAGCTACCTGGTGCTTATTGGGCATGACTTGAGAATAAATTACACAACCTGGCATTTTTTTTCATCTCCCTCAACTCACATTACAAAAAAATAGGTATTGACCAAATCTTTACTAATTATAGAAGTTAAGAACCTCTAGCAGTATTACCAAATGAGCTTCTATAAAATAGTGAAAAATACCCAAGTAAATTCATTGTTTTAATGCCCGATATATTAAGTTTGGGTCCATTTATTTTTCCTAAATTATGCTCCCTTATCAACTATATATCTATCTATCATATGTATAAAAATTGCTAAAATGGGTCAAAATTCATCTTTTATTCCAAATAAATGCCAAAATAAATATAAAATGATTAATTAAGAATCAATATATACAAAACAAGGTATAACAACAAATGCAAATTCAAAAAATAACTTTAGAAGGGAGTATTTTAGGTGAAATTTCTATTAACTTTGGTTACTCATTCCGAAGCATGGGTCAACAAAGTTGTGAAGGGAATAGTATTGTATGTGGAGAATCATTATAGTTCCACAAACAAAAATTGTTTTATGAGCAAAATTATATACTTTACTAAGATTAATTAAAAAAAACTTACTTTCCATTAAAAAAATACTTAAGTAGAGATTTAGAAATAGTTCAAATTCCAACTCAAATGTGTTCAAAATTTGAACATGTCGCACTGTTGTTTTATTGAACTATGGCTATAAGTTTTTTCTTTTTCTATCCCAAAATTAAATGTTAAAATATTAATTAAAATTAATAAAAATATATAAAATATTAGAAAATTAATAAAAAATAATAATTTTAAAAGATTATTCTTCATTAAATTAATTTCTTAACCACCTAAGATGAAGGAAGTATATATAATGGCTCATGTATGGTAGGTTGTGTAATTTTTGCCAAGTAATAACTAATCAGGAGCAGGTAAGCTCATGTTAATGGGGTAATAGAAACCAAAAGGAAAGATGACGTTATCTTTAATAGAAAGGTTCATTTCTTGTGGGTTTTGTTAAGTAGAGGGAACAATGTCCGCCACATTTAAGTAGTGGGGCAGACATACCACTACAATCAAAGCGTAAAATATTATATAATATCTATATTTTATAAAATGAGGAGGACAAAAACCTTCAGAATAAATAAAATAAAGGGTAAAACATTATTTTGTCTTATGAGGTGAATAAAGTACCTGTAAAGACCAAAATCTTTCTCATATCCTAGCAATTCTAAAGCGTTCTTCCACTTTATATAATATTTTATTCTTTCTAAAGTTTTTATAGCCGCCTGTCACGGGACGAGACTCTAGCTAGTCACCGTGCGGCACTTAGCTTGGATTTCACCCCTTAACCAAACCAAGTCAGCCTTCCCTTGGTGCTGGGCGCAGTCCACCTCTGGGACAAAGAGGCTTATGAAGCTTAAAATGCAGAAGTTGGGAGAAAATGAGAGTTTATTAGACGCAAGGAAAATTTACAAGAGTTTTGGGTAATGCTTGGCTGAGTGCCTCTGCCTTCTAAGGCTCCTCCTATTTATAGAGGAGGCCAGCCACCCCAGACAGAGGTTCTAGAGCATTCC